TTTTTTTTTTTTTTTTTTTTTGAAGGTGCAATGTCACCAGTAACGCACGTGTACAAAAATATTTTAGTGAAATAAATTTTATTTGTGGAGAAACTAAGTGATCGATCGTCATTGTCCTCGATCAGTTTCAGGCTAGCCGATTCGAAGATTTTTCAGCAGTGCTGCGTCATTTTGCACGATGGATTATGCGAAACATCGCATACCTCTGTCACCACTGCAACGCGTGATTTTGACAGCCGGTGCAGCCGCGATATCATTCATGAATCCTTTCCGCGGCGATATGATCGCATGCTTAGCAGAAACGACTGGTACCAACGCTCTTTCATATTGTTATCGACAAATGCTCTCAACCTCTGAGGGATGTCGCATCCTCGCTGAGAAACCACGTATATCTTCCTCGACGATTGATTTCTCTGCACTAAAACGATTACCAGCAGGGACACTTGGCAGAACATACTATGAGTTCTTAGATGTTAACGTAAGCTTTTTCGATGATTTTGTCTTATTTCATTATTCGATCGATCATCCGTATCACGGTACTATATGTGCGTTAGCAAACACTTTCGTTAGTCGCAGATCTCCGAATGACTGCCGAATTATTACTGTTGTAAGAAGTATGAAGTAATATGTATAAACATTCTATTTATTGAAAATTAATATATTTTATCTTGAATTGTGCATTATTGCAAGCACGCGAGTGAGTTGGAACGAAGATATTCGTTTGTTGCAGAATGTGTCTCCTGATTCTAGAACTGCAGTCAGGTTTATTGAAGATACCGAATTAGCGTATGTAATGCAACGATATCGAGAAACGCATGATATTTATCATGCCCTATTTATGATGCCAACCACGATGCTCGGAGAAGTATCCGTCAAGTGGATAGAAGCGTTGCAATTACATTTGCCGATGTGTTTGAGTGGAGCGATATTTGGAGCGTACCGGTTGCGTCCGAGGTATATAAGTGAAACATAAAGATACGAACCGCAGTGCACACTATTTGTGATCACGAATTCACTTACATTCTCTTTCCTTCGATATTCTTATTCTCAATTTATCAACAGTTGAATTTCTCTTTGGGGTTTTAGGCAAAGGAAATTATATCTAGAGCATCATCTCCCGTGGGCTATTAATACAGGACTTCGAGCAAAATTTCTCTTAGGAATATACTTCGAAGAACGTTGGGAGCAACCTCTCGTTGATTTTCATCGAGACATAAACATCGTTCCCTTGATATCGACAGAAAATGTTTACAATGAAATGTAATTGCTCTTTCTACATGTGGTTTTTCATATACAATAACAAGAGTAGAATTTGTTAGATAGTGTATAACAATTTTTATTCACCGTAACTTTGGAAATATGAAGAATATAATTTTTCGTAAGATACGTATAATTTTCATTAGAGACTTCGATCGATGTAATGATAAATTTAAGAAAACTTTATTTTCCTGTAGAAACATAATGCGCGAATCAGTGCGATATAACGAGTACAATCGAACTACGAGCATATAATCCAATTGGTGATGGATGAATCTAATATCGTAGAATTACGATAGTAACTGTTAACATATTGATCGATAATTAGTTTTTAAAGCATCGCGTAATTTATGAAACAATATTTGTAAAATTGATTGTCTCATTTGGTTTGTAGTAACACGCGCAAATCTATAAGTAGCTGTTGTTTTGATATGAACGTAGTGATTATTTACTAAGCTGTAGTTTTATCTATTATACCTCGGTTTGAATTACTTTCCCTTTCATTCTTTTTTTTTCAGTTATTAAGTTTGTCGATGCGAAATTTGAACACGTGGATTTATACGTACATATCATGAAACATAATATTGCTATATTAACTGATATGCTACAAAATTTCGGTAAAACTCAAAATTAAAAAGTACCGATGTATCATAGAGTATTATTATATTTGTTTGCATGATCGTTCGTTGAAATTTACGTATTTATTTTGTCTTGCGATGTATGAAATTCGTGCACATAGTGTGCAGGCTCGTAAACTGATAAAACATTCAAATAATCACAATTGTAGCGTTGACTAGATTTAAGTTTCATGTAGTACAATCTATCGTTTATAGTTAATGAGAAGACAAGACTATAATTTGTTATTAATAAGTTTTGTGTCTCTTTACCATGGAATGTTTATTTATCCGGCCCCCCCCCCCCCTCCTTTAACATACACCTGTATGTGTGAGCATGTGTTCCTATATACACAAAAGTAGATTCATACATAAATCTAATTGAGCATTAAAAGTTAATGGCCAGAGCATCCTGAGGTAATTTAGATATTTTAATAATGAAGAAACTAATGCAATTGATTGATGTTATCTAATAAATGATAGAAACAAATAATAATACTTTTGATGTAAAAGGAAGTACTTACATGTGAAGTGGAAAAAACAAATCAATGAAGCAGAAACAAGGTAAATCAGCATAAAGGGCTAAAACGTTTACACAGGATGCTTCTTGGCTGATTGTAATTTGTTTGGTCCGTGTTACTCGGTCATGAGTATATCAAACATTCAATCGAGAGCTAGTCTTTCAAGGTACAGATGAATTTCCATGAAACTGGGTCTGTCTTCGACTTGTGTATTCCAACATTTCTTCATTATGCGGTAAAGATCATCTGGGCAATGATCAGGTCGTGAAGGAATTCGAGGTTGATTTTTTTCGCCGTTCATATCGTCGTTCCTATTACCGATACGTACTTCGCTTTGATACCAGCGACCATAATTTTCTAAAATTTGTGTCACTGTTAAATCCGCGTATGGTATCTCCTTACAATTTAGAAAAATTTCCCAAATTGTTACCGCGAATGCCCAAATGTCTGCTTGACAGTTACGTTTACCCTGAAGTGGGAAATAATAAAAGTAAATAATGCAATATATGTATTAAAATTAAGGTATAATAAATACGCATTTTAGGAATATATTGTATAAGAATTTCTATATATTAATGAAAAGGTTATAGGAAAGTTTGTTTACCAATAATACTGCTTCCCATGCCATCCAACGAAGAGGAATTTTTAAGTTATGTTCGGTGATGAAATAATGATGGTTATATTTGTTGCAGTATATAGCATGATCCGATACTTTTATCGTCAGGTCGTTACCAACGATGCAATTTCTAAAATGTTGCATAGCATATCGATGTTAAATTAATTTGTTGTTTTACAGATTTCGCCATTTTACGAACGTTCTTACCTGGCTGCCAAATCACAATGTGCAATGTTTATGGATTCCAAATACTTCATACCAGATGCAATTTGGGTGATAAAGTTTAATCGTTTGCCATAGCTGTCGAAAATAGAAATATAAATTAATATAATAATGGGCTAGGGACCATGTTGGCTAGGGGCCAAATGGACCAAGTTATAAGAAAGAACAGCTATAATGTTTGTCACAGCATTTTCCTTACCCAATATCGCCTTTGTCAAGATTTGTGCGGCTTTCTAAAAAGCTAGAAAGATCTCCAAATTGACTGTACTCGAAAACAGCTCCAAATGGTTCTTCTTCTACCAAGGCAATCATCTTTGCCACGTTCGAATTTCGGAGCATCGATAAAACGTGCATATCTTTTGTGAAGTCCAACCTGTATGATACTCAAGTCGAAACACCATAAGAATATAAAAAGATATCTTTGCAAATCGGAATTACGTTTCATTAAATGAATCTATAAAGATACACGTATTTGATTAAACATTTTGTCGATTAACTGTGTTCAATTTCTGATATTATTTATCTCTACCAAACCGAAATTTCCCTCTCCGAGCTTATCTACTATCCTTAATCTATGTCTAGAAATGCGTTGAACACTGTGTGAATCAATATTTCGTGGTAAATAAACATTCTTCTCGCGGATATGAAGCGGTGTAAATGGACTCAAAGTCGACGGAACCTCTCTTTTCTTTATCTGAAATCATATAATTGTTGATTGAGTGTTCTTCCGCTTGTCTCTCTCTCCTTCAACTTTTGTTATCTTATCTATTATCTCACCGTTAAAATGTCCGTGCCAATATTATATCCTTCGTAAGCTTTTTGATTTATTTTGCTTGATTGATGGCGTAGCGCTCTTTTTGATGAATATATCGTAGTTGGGCCTGTAATTTCTGATGACTTGTTTGTCGTAAAGCTTGAATCACACTTTAAATCTAAGATGCGTTATTGAATAAAATAAGAATAAAGTTTAGCCTAATACGTTATATTATAACGATAGCATAGGAAAGATAAGGAGTCAGTGTTAAGAATGGTTTATCAGACTCACCGGAACATGATTCGATTGTATTAGTGGATGCATTTGATTTCAGAAGCACGAGATTTTCTTCAGAGAACAGATTATACGTTCTCTCATACAAAGTAGATCGATGTGGTTGATTGGAATCGACGACGGTAACACGAGAATCTGTTTGGAAATCTGTATCGAATCGATTGGGAAAGTTATCAGAAGTGGCTATAACGATAGGTTTGCGAATCAATGATAATCCGGTTACGATTGAATTTGAAAGTTTAACATCCTTCGGGGAAATCGCAATGCTTGGAGCAGATGAATCACAGAGTAAGGCTGTATGCTTTTGTAGTAAAGCTACTTTGTTACGACCTCTCTGTTTTATCAAAAAAGTAGTACATGTTAGAAAGAGGATAAAAATTGTTAGTAGACCGCTAACAAGACCAATGTATGTTTGGGATGTGCCAACGGGGAAGGCATCTGGTGTTGAGACGTCTTCATGGATTTCGTAGAGTTCCGTTACGTTAAAACCCAATATCGAATCCAGGGAACTGCTTGATTTTGCTCGTGGTTCGCTTCGATTTTGATCTGTATTCATTTCGAACGATCGATCAATTGAAATATTTGAATTGTTCAATCGATTTCTGCTACCTATAATGAATACGATATTAAATGGTTATCAGTTTACGCGTGACCTTTTCTTTTTCAAATATTGTTTCATTTGTCAGGAATGCATTACTTGAAACATAATAAATACATTCCTTACCAGTGTAAAAGGTAATTTCGCTAAGAAGTAACCATTTTGCAGCAAGACTAAATTCCACTTTTACGAATTGGCCGATTCTAGATTGCAACGGGATCGATGTTAAAATTGTTTCGGCACTAGATGAACTGGTATCGCTTAATGATTCCATTCTTTCTGTTTCTGATTGATAATTTTCACCATCAATGGAAAACCAAATGCGCATTATTGAAAACATCTACAAAAATTGAGAATTTTAAACATTAAGTATGCGTGTGTACAGTAAGAAAAAGGAAAACAAATTGTGAAAAAAGAAGAGAAAAGAAGAAAACAAACCTCGACATCTAGTTGCGGTATACGAGCGACATGTACAGAGCAATTCTCGAATTCTCGTAATTCTTGAAAATGAAATATAATCTGAACTGTAGTACACTCGGACCAGCCTACCCAGTTTGTTCCATTTGTTGGAGAAATAGGAATTTCAGAAACCTCGCCTAATATTCCGTCCGTTAGTTGACCTAGGCCGTTAATCAGAAGCGAGTCAAATTCAATACCATCGTACGAAGAATCTTGAACATTCCATCCTCCGGGACCAAGATTTGATCCCTTTGGCGCACTATAACTCGTTATGTACTCTGAGAAGAAAACCGATGATTATATCACGTATGATGTATATGTGTAGATCATATCTCTTAATAATAATCGCGCAAATGATTGGTAAATAAGGTGCGTATAGAAATACTTACGTTCCCATACGCATCCGTAAATTTCAACTCGCATACAAACCGTACGGGGATGTTGACTGTAAGGTACGAATCGTACTTTGCTCGCGACAAACGGCAAATCTAATTTCTGCTTTTCTACCAAGTATGTGTTGCTATTGCCACGTAGTATCTAAATGTGTAACAATCGACCGAAAAATTCAAATAAATCAGTAACATCGTTCTTTTGTATTAATAACTATGGGAAGCGTCTCGCTTTGCTCTCGAAAAAGGAGTAAGGCTAGCAAGATTTTTTAGTCACAATACGCTTTTGTTATATACAATATTTGCGTCAAACCATTTTTTATTCCTTATCGTAAATAAGTTCAATGACAATTATGTCGAAGCAACGCAGACGACTTCTAGTCGATTTATAATGGATACGAACTGTGTCACCCTTCAAATTTTTGTATTGATTCCATCTCTTGTTGCGCCAATATTCAAGAAAAAAAGCTTCCGCATATTCCTGACCTTGACCATTACCAAATCGGCCTTGAGTTTCGGTCCAGGATATCAGATGGTTTCTTGTTAGATCAATTTCCAGATATTCCCGTATCGCGCTACTTATTTGCGCTTTTGGACACCAAGCGCCACCATTTTTCTCTTGTCGTATCCTGTGAATACGATACAAAAAATGTTTCCTCCCTTTTTGAATTTTTCCTTCTATATCACTTTCCTCCTACATCTTTTCCTTATTTTTGTATCCGACTTATATCTTTTTACAATCGCATCACGATCTAATCTTTTGTTAGTCTATCCAATGATTGTTCGAAATGATTTACCTTGCGTTTTGTGGACCCACCGATTTTGTTTCGTAACTAGAAGAGGCGGTGATCGCATCATCTGGAATCTTACCCTCCTCCATACCAAGTGGAAAAGTACACTGTCCTGCAACATATCCACATTTATTGTATATACCATATACCATACCATATACCATATACCATATACCATATATATACCATATACCATATATCATATATATACACGTTTTATCTAATTGTATCTAATTTTATAAACGTAACAAAATTCTTTTTCTTGTTATTATTGTTATTATCATTATTATTAAGATTATTTCGTATTTATTATAGTTTTATTAAAAAACTTTCTTTCCCTTACCGAAAATGTTGGCTGAATTATCTCCATGAACAGTCGCGACCAGAAGCATTCTCAATGTAACAACTGTTAACGTAAACCACATTTCGATATCCAAATCTTATACTATTCTGGATTCGTTTACAATTCATGATAGATCGAATCCTTTGCTAACATTATTCGATTTCTGAAATTGTAATTGCATTACTTATATATATATATATATATCAACCAATAACAAATCATGGATAAAATTTATAAAGATTCCCGAGTATGGTGTAATAAGCGTACTGAAGGCAAAAATACTCATCAAATGAAAATAACGGGTAGCATTGTAATATGAGATATGATTCTAGTATATCGAAAATATTGTAAAAGAATAAACACAGAAAAATTTGGCCGTTTTGGATATATATATAGTACGGATGAATTTCATCATACCTATAAAAAATCTAAAAGGAATTGATCGATGATTCTTCCTAATTAAAAATTGAAATTTGTAAACACCGACACCGCTAGCAAGTATACATATAGCATTTGTATGCTTCGTAGTTGATAGTTGACAATTCGCAGATTGTACGTTAATTAGATTCACCGATGGAAAATGAATCCGAAGAGGGTTAGGGAATGCGCACGGTGTTCTGGATGGGTATGCGTGCAACAAGTACGATCAATACGGGCATGGTGCAAGGAGAGCATGACTATACTCGATTCATTTACTTATACCTCTGTCTACCCGGGCGAAAGCTGTCATTTCATCAATGTAACAAAAATGTGAATGCAAACGTAAATGTGTAGATCATCAAACTTGATTTTCTTCTTTTGTCATTTGTAATTCTTCATAAAGTATTCTTTTCTCGTATGATATATCTATTTATATATATTGTTCACACATACATGCACTTATTCAAATAATTTCTATATTCGACAAGTACTCATGTCCGTTATTGAAGATGCGATAATGAATTTAATTTTTGATTTAACTAGTATTCTGTCTATGATAAAAATATTAATTTTTATCCAATGAACTTCTGTTTACTTACTTTTATTAATTGCTTAATGGAGAAGAATTTCGCTTTCGAGTGCTATTGTATAAGAGAACGTTTCAAAATTATTTACGAGATTGAATTTAAGCTGCCAGAAGAAATACAATCTTTGTTCTTTCCTCTTTCCTAATCTATGTTGTGAAATTCTCTCACTGAAAAATGTGCCTAAAACAGATTAATCATTTCAACTACTAAAATATCATTTCATAATATAATTTTCATTAAATCGTTATCAAAATGGTAATTACCAAATTATCCCCACACCTATGTGGAATGGATCACATCGATCATTAAACGTGAAACATATTCCTGTTCGTCGTAATTGATATGGCATTTTTTATTTGTTACATGCAATAATCTTCATGTTTTATAAGTTTAACGGAAACCTTTAATAACGTTAAAATTCTTACCTTTCAAGCTCGTCGCATGATACTTATTTCTTATACTGTGAGAACGGTAAGTTCTGAAAAACTAAAAAGTTTTAGCATTCTTGTAAAGTTAATTGAATCAAAATGCACCAACCTCTCGTAATTTTAATTTTTAATTTTTGTATATGCGCGTGTGTGGGTGAGTGAGTAGGTGTGGAATGTATATATGTATACTGTACTGTACTGTATACCTAATTAAGAGGAAAAAAGAAGAAAAAAAAAAAGAAAATATACAGGATTCCTTGTTACTTGCACTGTATAATTAATAGATTTTTTCACGTCCAGTTGATTTTTCGTTCCTTTTCGAACGCGCGTGTTCGTGTTTCGCGTTCTTCGCGAAACGTGGTTCAATGCAAACTCCGCTCTGGTCCAGAGCTTTAGCTGAGCATCCATGGTATCGGCCTGTTGTGAGCTTGCTCGAAGATAGGAGCGGTGAAAAGGAGTGGGGCTAAAGGGGGGCTATAGGGGAATATCACCTTTCCAACATATCTCCGATGGATTGATCGCCGTAATATTGTTAATATTATTTTAATAGTACTGATGTTTATTCATTCGATTATATTAATTTTTTTAAAGAGCGAAGTTAATTCAAAAAATTTTAGCAAACATTAACTTACAGTAATAATAATTGCTTTTAATTTAACGAAAGAAAAAAAGTTTGCATAATAAATGAATTTTATGAAATTGAAAAAGAGTATTAATTCCTTCAAGTTTAGCAAATAGATTTGTTGGCAACAGCTTAATTATTAATTAAATTTACTTTATATATATGTACTTACATGTTATTATCTACTATTGGTTTATTTAATACAAATGCGTTTCGAAAGAATAATAAAACAAATTGATTTGTTTATTATTTCTAACCCTGTAGTGCATTTATTTTACAGAAAATTCAAAGACACTAGCATTGAATAATTATTTAGCACTTACATTCCGATGAGACAATGTTTCGAATGATCGGTAGGATTTGTTTCCGCGTAACATGCAAATTATTCTGTGCATAAAGGATCAAGTTAAAATTTCCATCTTCTTCGTAAATTTCTCTAATCAAAGTCAACTTGAGAGATGGTTCCGCAAATACTGTTAGAGCTTTTATTATCTATTTATAACAACATTGGCCGATGATTATAGCTACTATTACTATAGATAAATTAAGCAAAACAAAAATAAAACATTTCAATTATTGCTAACCTTTTCTCTTAGTCGATTGATAGTTAGTGAAAAAATAGCAATATCTCGAGATAATTTTTCTGAATTATGTTCCAATCCCATTAGAATGACAATCGTGGTGTTTCTACGTTCGGCAAAATCTCCTAGACTTTTTAGATTCTTTTGTAAATCGAGAAAATTCTAAAATATTATGAATAAATCACATATAAACACCATATTCAACATTTCGTATGTAAACTAATTAAATGTACACTTTACCTTTACCAACATAGGTAATCCGACAATTGGCACGCCAGCAGTTACTTTCAAATCTTTGATCAAAAGATCATCGGTAGTTAATTCGCTAATATCCGATTTTGCTCTAATGATCTCGTTAAATACTTTATCTCTATTGACATCTAATAGGCTGACTTTGTCGAGTGCTTCAAAAACTTCGATATCGACAGGCGTAGCACGATCAACGTCTTTTGAAAAATTGGAAGTATCGATCAAAATCGGGCCTGTTAAAATTTCCATAACGATAATGCTTAAACAACGCGATTACGGTTGTTATATCGTATAATATTTTGGCATAATATATTATGATAAGCAACTTTAATTGTAACAAATATATCTGCTTGCCTTGTAAAAGACTCGATATTTGTGAATCTATTACTTCTGGATGTTTATTAAACAAATTTCGTGCTACTAGGGTCGCGCAACTGCCTACACTTTGCAAATAAATTTTTCTGCCAGGCCAAGACCATCGTTCGTCTCTTGGTCTATGATCGATTATTTTCACTACGAAATCTTTCAAATAAATGTCTTCGTCTGGAAGGCTATGATGATCAACAAGCACAAGTTCCAATTTAGTTTCCGTAGTCTCTCTTAAAGCTTTCAGATCAATTTGATTCCTATAAATCACAATCTATATGTCTACTTACTAATTTTCATGTTCTATCCCTCTATTATAAAATCTTTTTAGATGTGCATTTTTTATAAACTTACCGGAACGTCAGCAAATAGGAAAATATGTTATGACGTTTTAAGAAGTATACAACTTCTGTTTTGGCACGATAATCTTTCTCAGGTATATTCATTACCGGAATTACTGCCAAATTTATTTCCTTCTTTTTAATTCCATCCAAATATTCGGAGAAGGCTTGTATCAATGCCGATACAGCGGAATCTAAATCGCAGGTTTCATTACCCAAAACGATGCGAATTGTTTTGTAGTTGGATAGGTTTAACTAAAATAACGTATAAGATAATAATTGTTAAATATCCATACTTCTGCTTTATGTTTTAAGAAAATTTTTATTCAAGGTATCTATTCTACGTGTATACACAGTTTTCATATTTTTATTTATCTATATATCAATTTTTTCAAGCAATCTTTACAAGGTTACAATATAAAAATACGATATAATAATTTTAGAATAATAGTCTAATATAGAATGATGTAAAATCTCAATTCTTTTTCCTTTTTTATTTTGAGTCGAATAATTAGTCTTTACTATAATGTCATATTTCATTCTTTTAATCACTACTCATCTAACTAAATTTTAAAATTTGGCGCGCAAAAGTGCAAACTGACTATCCACCAATAAGTACGTATCGCTAAACGTAACCTCTATTTATTATGTCTATAAGTTGTCTTAGAAATTTCTTTGTACAACATTCTTTAATGAAATATGTAATTACAGTTTCTATACTTTTTACTCAAAATATTAAAAACATTATAAATTAACATAAAAGAATCATCTATCGCATATGAAATGTACGATATGTTCGAGGTAATTTTGATAAGGACAGATTCCTATCATTATTAAAATATAAATAAATATAGGAAAATTTGACGAGTTTATTTATCGTTATTTTGTTTTGGTAATTTCACATTTTAGTATTTAAATAAATAGGTCCAATAAAACTATTGAATACATATCGTTACATCTGAACAGAATGGTTTATTTTCTATTCCTCTCTTTATTTCGTTAATAACACAAAAACTATACTCGAAATAGTTAATTTTTCAAATTACATTATTTTTTACATAAAAGCCACTTATTGTAATTAACGAAAAGTAAAACTCTACTCACTATACCAAGCCAAGTATAAATTTACCAATGCTGCTTTTGATGCTGACAGAAATGATTCCATGATTTTCTGTTATGATGTACAAATCATTTACGTTGACACAATTCCAAATATCATAAATTCAAATTTGTTAATTTAATTTATTTCACTATTTTTTGAAAATGCTGATCATATGTCTGTTTACCACTATACAACAGACAAATAGATCCCTTAGCGGTAAATGTAAAAATGAGGAATCAATACAAACGTTGAGATTGTTAAAAAGAAATGATTTTCTAACGTTAGTAAACGAAAACTGGTAATTGTTTGTACAGCCTTTGGTCAATGATTAACAAATACAGTTGCAAAAAAAAATGGCAAATACTATTGAATCTCTCGGCCATACTCGGAAATGTTCGAACTTAATCGGAATTCTTCGGTGTTGTACGAAAGCTTCCGATGTCGAACGATGCAAGCGACAGCAATGTCCGTAATCACTTGTTTCTTTGCCTGGCAGTCGATGTTGTTCGTCTCAAGATGTGTGGCACGGTATAAGTTGCAATCATTTGACAGTTATTTTTCTAATGGCTTTTGTCCTTTGATACTTTTGAGTATTCATATTTATTTGTAAGCATGTTTTTTTTATTTTCATATCAGCATGGATGTGGTCAACGCAATACAAAATCTATTTCAAATTTGATTAGCATAACTTTAGTTGTTTTAATAGTGATTAGTACTAGAAATACGAAATGTTTTTGACAAAGCGATTTATTGCAAAGAAAAAGAGTGCAATGGAACCAATTCTTGAGAGGATATCAAAAAACATTCTCCATGAAGGTATAGTACAATAGATATGACCGCGTTTCTTTTGCTATTCTTCTTTACACTTTCATTCTCATATATTTAACAACTAAATTTCTCTATTTTTTTTTTACTTGCCCGAGAAATATAACGACTTGTTCTATAATCTTTTTTTGTACCAAACGCATATTGCTGGGAATAGTAATTGAATGAACAGGAAGGGAAACGCAAGCATTGAATAAGGCTATAAAGGTGGGTTTAAGGGCAGTGAGGAGAAAGATGCCGAAGGAGAAAGAAAACACAAGGTGTGTATAAAAAGAGATAAACGAAATATTTCATAAGAAAATAGATAAATTTGGCGAAATTAGAAATAAAGATTAAATTGTTCCCTGTTTCATACCGCATTCCGTATTACGCGTTCCGTTCCGTTTTGTTCCGTCTCGTTTCGTTTCGTTTCGTTTCATTTCGTCTCGTCTCGTCTCGTCTCGTCTCGTCTCGTCTCGTTTCGTTTCGTTTCGTTTCGTTTCGTCTCGTCTCGTCTCGTCTCATATCATATCATCTCCCGTTTCGTTTCGTTTCGTTTCGTTTCGTTTCGTTTCGTTTCGTTTCGTTTCGTTTCGTTTCGTTTCGTTTCGTTTCGTTTCGTTTCGTTTCGTTTCGTCTCGTCTCGTCTCGTCTCGTCTCGTCTCGTTTCGTTTCGGTTGTAAATTTGACATTATCGAATGTGATACACGTGTCATTAATTGTTTATTTCCTGACAGATAACAACAAAAAAGAATACGTGATCATAAACAACGTGGGTGTCACCGTAAATGGGTGTTTTCCGCGATGCGGTTCAACAAACAAGAATTGCTGACCCTAGCTACGCAACCTTCTCAGAAATTCGAGAAAGAGGGTATATTGTATGTACGCGAACGACAAGAAGGCTTCTTTCGCAGAACCGAGAGTGAGTGATTAGATTCATTCCTTGACACGTAGAAATATTCGCGTGTTTGATCACTTATTTTTAATTGATTGATTTGTACATGTATTTTGACTGCTCATGTCGGCAGCGCATGTTTTTTCCTTCTTTAAATTGTATGTTTAATCCTTGAAAATAAACTCACGTGATACGCAAATTCTTCGTCTTGTGTTTAATATAGAGCCAGCCCATCATCCGTTTTCCGAAAAAGTACGACCGTGTATGATGTACATTTGCAGTTTACTCAAGATTGTGTGATGTTCGTATATAATATAGGACGCTCGTCTGTGTTCACTGATTTATGTGATTTATGCTGCCGGTACCTCTGCTGCTGATGTCTACACCGTTGTCATCGTCGTACCATTGAGGAAATGGAAATACTAGTAATCTTTGCTTATTCCGATACTTCGAAATATCGACGAACCGACGAGCGTCAAATAATTGTTTTAACCGCGTTAAAATTTCTTTCCGTTGAATACGAAGAATTTGTTGAACTCTCGTGTAAACTCCTCATGTGTAAAATGTGTGTCGAAACTGCGAAACATCCCGAATCAAAAAATCTTCCGTTTTTCACGAGTATTTAATCTTTTTACGATGTATTCATTTACAGTATTGGATGTATCATGTATATGTATGAAATGCGAAACACACTTGATAATTCCATTCATTAATTTATTCGTTCGATATAATTATTGCTGTTACTGTTGTTGTTATTGCATGTATGATACATACAGTAACAACAGCGATAATAAATATATATACAATATTATATATATTATAGTTCTTACCGCATCGATAATCTGTTATCGGTAGTACGATAATCAACCTATCGAAAAAGTATCGGAAATTATTCAATATGAAATACACAATGTTCTTAACTTATAGTCGATGCTTTACATTAATCGATATTGACTTACAAATATTATTATAACAAGGATGATAATAATAACAATAACAACTAGTAATAGTACGATAATACTAATTATTAATAATAGTACAATATTAGTATAATGTATAAATTCGTATATTAAATTCCAACGCACTGTGGTTTTTGAATTTAGTAAAATAAAATTTCTGTATATCATATTCTTTTCAGATATAACTTAATTTGACAAAGATGTTCACCAATAATTGACATTATGCATTAAAGAGGCGGAACTTTCGTAGCGCGAAACACAATCCAAGTTTATGACGATCAAAACTAGTCATTAATTTGATACGTTAAAGGTGTTTATCGTACCTACCCTTATATATGTTTAGTCGTCGAGATGTACTATATTAAAAAAGTATTTAATATTAAATTTGTTAATATTAAATTTTGTTCTGACATTTAATAGTAAATAACGAATTCGGGATGTCGCATAGTTATGGGAACCATATTTATGTTTTCTTAGCATATACATTTTATTGTATATTACACGCGAGCACATTTGTCATAATTTACCATGAGTTTGTAAATTATTTAAAGATGTTACTTTCTTTTTCTTTTCAAAATATTTCCGCAAATCGAGCATGCTTTCGAATCTGTGATGATTGAAATTGTTGTCGAATGTGTGCACGATTACCTGGAGAAGTTGTTAGTGTTTCGTTGTGACTCGATCGAATCGCTTACGTTTGCAAAACCTTCTAGTACACGTCAAATTATTTCTTCTCTTTCTAATGTTGTCCCAATTGTGACAACGATTATCATTTGATCTCCATTATTGAGTCCTGTTGCAGTTTCTATTTGGATATACTTGCTCGTATTTGCGATTCGAAGCGAGACGCATCGCAAGGCAGGAGCAAATAGTTTGTAATAATGAAAATAAATACGAATACGTAGCGATCGGCCATGTCCGACTGCGTACAAATTTTCGTGCACGTTAATTAAGCTACCTGTAGCTACGTATAATTTGCAGGTACAGGTAAAAAATGTGACAACAAATGTCAAAAGGGAAAAACACATAAGACACTACGAGACCTCAGTTGTGTTACGGCCAGTACGAGTAAAGGTATATTCGAGTTTTTTGTTTTTCAACCAAAATTCTTTCCTTCACTGTTTTAACTTGATCAATCGCGATTAACACGCTTACCATTGCGCGCAAACTGAACCAATTTATATAAATTCCTTTCCAATTTAAATCAAAAGTTATCGGTGTGTGTGTGTGTGTGTGTTATTACATAAATTTCGATTTAAATATATATAAATAATATGTGGTGCACACGACTGCCTGTATGTGTGTGTATGCATGCATATCAAGCACATATTAAGAGTGGAAAATCGGAGAAATGTTTCGCATTTGTAAACTTGTTTTCTTTCATTTTAATGTTATACCCATTGGAAATAGTATTTTACTCTGGTATGTGGCATGCTTCCTTCCGAAAAAATTGGATGAATTTCCTCACTTCTCTGAATAGACTAGCATGATTTCCATGGTAGTACACCACTTTTATACGAATACTTTTTAAAAATCATTACAAACATCGTATGCTTCTATAGTATAATATGTACTAGTGTGTTGTATAGCTTGTTAAAAATTCGATACGATTTGTGAATTTCTGTTAAATTGGTACGCTACGTTCGAGCCTTCCATTTGTGCATACATTTCCGGAAACAAACATGCGTGATGAACGTATATAAGTACGTACGTTTACATGAATTTACAAAATCTGTGTGATGATTTTAACATTTTTACTTTGCTTCATACATGCGTTTATACAATTTATTTCCCATATTATTTTTATCATTATGAATATATTATTTGTTTTTCCCAGAAAGAAAAGAATATCTGGCGAAAAATACCGTTGAAATATCGATGAAGAGATTTAAAAAAATAACACATATTTGTTACTTTTCTTTGTTGGATAGTAAGTTTGGAGAGATGGTGCAGGTTGCGGGGAAACTTATTGTTTTACTTCAAATCGCGAGAACAATGGTCAGAACCTCTAGGTGTGATAATACTCGAACAATGTTTCGTCCGAGTGGAACAACCGAGCAATCAAATACCGTACGGTTTCAGTATAGGTAAGCACTTGCTTTTTACAAAGATAAGTAATTAACATGTAACGCGAAATATGGTGCTACTATCGCTAAAACAAAATGTAATCATACGAGAAAGCAAGAATAAAGTAGGAAAAGGAAAGAAAATGCGTGCTCGTGTGTCTTATTTCAGTGTTCGATGGAGGTTTATTCCAAGCATTAGGTGCAAACTCAGCCGAAGAGAGGGACAGTTGGTTGCAAGCACTTCAGCTTGCTAGTTACGAATGCATGAGAAGTCAATTATTGGCATTGCAACAACGCATAGAAGCGCTTAGTGGACATAAACATGACACGGATATCCATATGTTACGGTTGCAACGTGGAATTTCAACAGGTTCTGTCACTTTTTCTTATTTCTGTTATATTCTTTTTGTTATTCGCTTGGTGTTCCAAATTGATCGATTCACTGTTTTAGATCCTGCCGAAATACCGATATGTGAAATATCGTTAGCATGTGACAACCTTCTTTGCGATGGTCATGGTCGACCACCTAATCCAGTCCTAGAAATAGACGTACAAGTTAAAGGTTCGAAAACCTGGATCAAGTATTCACGAACTGAAGTAGTGGAGGTATGTTGCGTCTATCGACAAGCTGATTTGTCTCTCGAATTATATTCGTTCACGCGTACCTCTTTTTATTTCACAGCGAAGCAGCAATCCTGGTTTCTTAACAACCGTGAGTTTTAGAGCTAGTGACGGTTTAACCACGGAGACAAAAGTAAGGATAACTGCATACGATGTTAGGGAACGCGTAAGTCAAACAGCGACACCGATCGGAAGCGCGATTGTTACCTTAAATGCGGTTCAAGATACACCTAGGTAATTTTCACTAGCCTCGTTCTGAGAATTTCTCTTTATGGCTTTATATGGTTTTATTTGTTACTGATTTACGTATAGGCTATCATATCGTATCATATCTTTTCTTAACCATTTACTGATTTTAGATTAAGGATACCGTTGAAGTCAGCAAAAACAACAACTGCTGGTTTTCTAACGATTAGCGTGTGGAATTTGGAGGCAGAAGATCGAGGGAATAGTACGGAAAGTACACCGTCAAAGGAACCTTCTACTGGAATGAATCATCAGGTAAATGTCGATTTATTTCAAACATTTTCTGTCTCATTTCCAGATTTCTTGCTTTCATAGTTTCTTTTTCTGCTCTTCTACCCTAGTCTGTTGGTTTTCATAGGTACTCTCCCATAGACGATCGCAATCACTACCGCCTAGATTAGGAACAAAAATCAAGTTGCCGCATCAAGGACAACTTAAACTCCTATTTGCCAATCCATACATACAAACGTACAGGTGCGTCTTTAAGAGTAACGTTCCAACAGTTTATTTTCTTTTGTTTTCCAACTTTCATACTTATTTGCGAATATGTATTTTATTTCAGGTTCCACTCTGGTTTAGGCGGAGATATTTGTGTACACGAAATCATGGCAGAAAGTAAACTTTGTTTTCAATTTCCACAACATTTACTGTGAGTACTCTTATATATTATAAGTTTGGCTTGCAACAATCACTAAATGTTGATAAAGCCTATTTATTACTTCGACTTTCTATGCAGTCTGTGCTCTGTGCTTGTTTTACGTAATTATTTTTTATACAATTACGCAAAAATTCTGGCTATCGTTGCTTCATTTATTAAAAATCTTCGATATTTTTCTTCTAGTGCAATTTGGATTCAAGAGGAAAAGGAACTTCTGCAAGAAGTAGCAGGTATGGGTGAACTAAGAGAACCTTGGCATACTAAACAAGTGGAATTGCTGGATCGCCATCTTCATCTTTTACATCTTTATTCGCAAGCTAAAGAAAATTTGGCTGCATTTAAAGGTAGATTTAATAAATATTTACCTTCAAGTTTACATTAAACCGCGTTTTGTGTATTTTATTAACCGATAAAACAACCCTCGTAGGAAGTTATTTCAAACGGTCATCGCGTAGGAATGATAGAACACTTGAGTTTGCACCTGTTAATTTACACTTACAAAGAATGTGGGTGCATAACGATACGTTAAACAGATGCGGATTTTATGACTTTATCACTGTTGGGGCATTCACTGCACATTCGCATAAGAGTAAAAATGGCGGTCTCATTAGGTAATTTTCGATCAATTTAGTTGTAATTCCAACTATGAAAGTACAAATAAGAAAAAGAAAGAAACGTAAATGCGAATAGGTTTCTGTCAATATTGTTTTATCACTGGCGTTATATTGTTCTAGGCTATTACAAGCTTTAAAGGAGTCGCCAACGCGTGGTAATCAGTTATATCAGGGAACATCGAAAATAACGATGGCGCACGATGCTATTCAAGCAATTAAACAACTCCGTCGAGATGTTGTAGATGCGATGCGCGCCTTGATGAAACTCGCAAAAGACAAACAAACAAGTGGAATGTTACCAATTTGCGAGGATATGATTACAAAAACTAGAATTTTACTTAGTTTGTGGGATCCAGGATTGGTCGAAGAAGCGTTAACCTTTCTAGAGGAATACAAAGTCGCAAAGATTCATGAAACTTCGAACGAGAACTCCCTTAATTTAGATTTTAGGACGAACCAATCGTTATCTCCTTTCAAAAGAATCACGCAACAATTAAATTTTGATTTGAAAAGTCCGGATTTTGATGATTTTGTTACGCCTGATACTCCAGAATGTGTAAAAGATATGTGGATAAAAGAGAATGAGAAAAATGGTTTCACAACTTCGTTGTCCTCGAAAAACGAACACGCGAGCCACCTCGTCAATCAGGATAACATTGATGGAAAGGATGAAGAAAATTTTGTTATTTTTCCAGATGTCGATGAAAGCGACACCAAAAATTACGAAATTAAAACTTCTACGTTAACAAATCGTGTTGATAACAAAGGAAAAAATCCTGTCAACGATACTATCGTTACTACCAATTCGAAAAGTAATGAAGATAGAGAGGAAGAAATTAAGAGTGATATCGATCTGTGTAAACGGTTTTTAGATACTCAAAAGATGTGTAATTCACCATCTGCTAATTACTATAAACCTACCGATGAACCCGAGCCTTGGGATCTGACTCAACTAAACATTGAAGCTAGCGTAATGTGTTTGGTGTCGAAAGTAAAGTTTCTCTGTGGAAGATGCAGTAGTCCAGCTGTACGACTACGGAATAAAAATATCATAGGGAGATCGCACAGTTTCAAAGGATGTGTTTTGAATAATCGTAACAGAACTACGGACGTTGTAACAATTCAACCGAAAAACGACGTTAAAAACGACGAGTCGTGTAAATTGCTCGAATGTATAGAAAGTCGTTCTAATTTTCATCAACAACTTAGTCCAAGTTCAGAAAAAACAATGCCAGCCTTTTCTAAAGCCAAAGAAGGTAAGGAACGATAATTTTTCATATTTAAGGCATGTTAGGTGTGTGAGAAATGATTTCAATAATTTGCACCAATAGTCTTTATTAAATATCGTGACAATTTTTTACGCTCCTCTTAAATAAAAAATAGAGAGGAAAGAAATTACAAAATTTTCGATCAAATTATTCTTACTTTATATAGTGTGCCAAGCTGTCGATTCGATGACAAGAGTAATTAAAAGTAATTCGGGACAAAGAAACAAATTCACAGAGGGTCTAGATTTTGCCTCGATCGTCGATTGGACAAGTGAGCTTAGACCAAGTATGAAAAAATTACGGCAAGCTATGGATGGATTGTTAAAAACTGCCCGGTTAACACATTCGGTATTCAGGGTACAAGAAGATCCGAAAATGGCTCAACGCGCTTGCAATGTTCGATATAGGAGAGATGTGTGTTTTAGTCAAGCGGTAAATTTATTATGCATTTAATTTCTTCTTGAGTCTTTTCAACATTTTTTCTTTCTTCTTTTTGTTTCTTTTTGGGGGTACGGAGCGGATCAATGATTGTTTTGACTTGATCGAATATCTCGAATCCCGATTTTAGTTAACAAGCTTGGTTTCGGGATTGATGGCGAAGCTTTGGTGTCAAAGACCCGATCCAATGTTCCTTTTAATCTTGACTACTCTTGGCCCTCTGGTCTCCTTTGAGGGACTCCTCAGTTATTACGGAGACGAAATAGATATGTGGGGAGATATGACTGTAGCAGTAGAAGACATGCATACCGTAACTTTTACACTGACTAGATGCGGCATTGCATCAAGGTTAGTACCAGAATATCCATATATTTAGTAAATTCTTGGTATTTGTGGTAACACTGTCCAATAAATTTTAACTTTTTCTCTGTTCTTTAAAGCTAATGGATGCTTCTTGTAGAGTTTACCTTTCCTGAACTCGAATCCGTAAACGAGATTTCTCGGTCACTCTCAGTTTTCGAAAAACATGAGCGTGTTTATTAAAGTTTTTTTTATTAAAATAAAGTATTATACAAAAATTAAAAACGTCAGGTGGTTTATTCATATCTTAAAAGTTAGGCTTAAAAGTTATTTTCTCAAATTTAACAATATCCATAATTTTGTCCACAATTTTATTTCATATGTTTCTGCATATTTTATATTGTATTACAATATTTTTATTTTCTTTTGTACACTAATGGGGATTTACACTGTTTAATGAATAAATAAATAAATGATTATAATTATTAGTGCTTCTGAATAATTGGTCATTACAGTTTAAAAATAAGCTGCCGAGTGTACTTTCTATGCATTATACTTGTATTTTTACATTAAAATTCTTTATCTAAAACAAATTTTCTATACATTACTGTATTCTGTGGACTTTTCTGGCAGAGAAATTGCTGAAACAATTTTCAATTCGATCAAATCGCAAAAATATTCCTCAGTAACGTGCATACGTTATTTTACCACTACGCAACTATTTTTCACCCATCTAGCTTCGACTATCACGTAGTTATGTGACATCAAAAGCATCGTCCAGGAGATCCCATTTTCTACATGGGTAGAGAAATTTTATTTTCGAATTTGTGTTTAAGAAGATAAACTTTACAAGAATCACCCAATAGATCTTATAGATCAAAATTTGTGTTGGATCGTACAGTATAATTAGATATTGAAGAATTTCAAATATGTATGAATTTGCACAAAATGAGTAACGATATGTTTTAGGCTCGAAGGAAATTGTAATATTCCATTTCAACAACCATTACCAAGAGTGGTTGGTTCCCGAGCTGCGTTAACGGTGATTCTTCCTGTGCCAGATGCGATCTACTCTTTATTACCACTAGTCCCTTCTTCCAGGCAGACAATTTCCTTCAATGTTACTCCTGTTTTCTTCAATGTCGGTATCAACGAGATGGCCTCTCTGGCGGAGAGTCTCGGAACCACGAAACCGCAAGAAAAAAGTAATATGGATAATTTTGAAAGACTGAATGAGTATTATTTACGATTCAAGAAACTTAATTTGCCAACTGAGACGTCGTCGACACGTCGTAAGTTCTTCCTCATTTTATCATCTAAATATATTTATTTACATTCACATTATTTGTATGCGCTTCTCGTTCATTAACCTTCCCTCTACTTTACCGTTTGGAATTAATAGTTGGTGCAAGATCACCACTCGGTCAAACATTAATGGAGCTGATGACTTATCTAAAGGCAAGCGTTCAAGCTAAAGTGAATAAAAACGTCGAAATTTTGCAATTATCCTCTCAAATCTGTAGAAGAATGCGCGGCTTAAGATTTACCAGTTGTAAAAGTGCAAAGGATCGTACTGGAATGTCAATTACATTGGAGCAAGTGAACATCTTGACCGCCGAATATCATCTGGCCGAACACGAATACATGAGAGCACTCGACTGTATGCGAAGGTTAATTTCTATCGAAAATGAAATTCGATCTAAATAGTAGTAATGGTTGTTTCGAAGATGATACATCGTCAACAGTATCGGTGAAAATTATTTCTAATTACAGTGAAGGATGTCGCCGGGAGAATACGTGGAAAAATATTGGAATTCGGAAATACGCGTTCAATAGCTTGCAAATACTAACATTTCCGAAACTATATCGTCCACCGACAGGTACCTATGGATCGGCGCAAAGTTAAGAACAATTTTCAACTGTATTAGTAACAAATGCATAATTCTTCTATGATATATGTAATGTTGATATGACGTGAATGCAGTAAAGTGAGGAAAGGAAGAGAAGAAGGAAGGAAATGGATTAGATGAAATCGTAGTCTTCTCATATAAATTCTATACAAATATTATTCTTTGACTTGATCGAATTCGAATGAAATCGTTATGGAAGGAAAATATTTGATTCGTTTAATATGTGTGCGTAGAGCGCGCACATATATGCATGCCTGTATGCGCATATAATTATTCGCGGTTCATCATAGAAACGAAAGAGAGTGCCATTTTATTTAGTCTATCGTGTGTTAGTATAGAGGTCGTTAAATTTTAAATGATGTATTTTTATTATTTCTGTATATAGAATTTTACTCTAGGTAAGATAATATAATAGAAATTTTATGAAAACTCACATTATGTGCCAACGGTTATATCGTTGCAATTTATTAGAAGGAAGGTGCTCCGTCACGGTAATGACCATATTCCAACCAAATAGAATATGTTAATTAGTAAAATTACATTGTTTAATTGACAAGGATGAACGTGTTCGGGTTAGGTTTTGCTTTCTGCATTAAAATAATTATCAAAAATGCTGTGATCGGTGATGCGAATTGAAAAATGTAAAGGATTACGTGGAATTTAATTGATTTTCATGGGAAATGTCGCTTTTGAGAAATTTATTACTCTTTCAGAGCAACAGTGAGAAATTGAAAGTTAGATCACGACTCGTAGATTACCGGCGTGCTTTGAAATCAAATCAGAGTTTATAATACAATACTACATTCGTGACCAACCAAACTCTTGTATGTGTGGAATATCGTGGATATTTGCAATATAAACATATAACATTTTAGAAGCCATCAGGATATAAGTTGTATTGTAAATAAACTATTATCTGCTGTACAACATAACACGCGTGCTTGCGCGCGAACGTGACAGAAGCATACACGTTGCCTCTGATTTCATTTATTCCTTCTGTTACTGTCTTATACGCGTAAAGACTAGCAAATTTGAAGCGCGGCAATGAAATATTCATATGCAAAAATATAAGTAGACTTATATTTACAATGAGTAGTAGTAGTAGTAGTAGTAGTAGTAATAGTAGTAGTAGTAGTAGTAGTAGAAGAAGAAGAATATTTTTAAGATAGAGATGATACGAAAGTTGGTGAGGGTAAAAAAAGGGATCGGTAATGATGATAGTGGTATCCAGTGCATAGCTTACAGCCATGAGACAATACATGGCCACGGAGCGTTGGTTGTTAGCTGCTAGCTGATAGCTGTTAGCGAGTGGACACCTGCTCCCTGTGATCTCTACCCCCAACCTTTTATGGAAAGGACGTTATAAAACTGGTAGGGCGGTTGTCAGCTTAACCAGTGAGTTTTCAGTGGTCGAACCGTCTATATTCCACGTTTAATTTCACGGAGAGAAATAATCGTCAATCTATCTTAATATACAAGAATAGAAGAAATCTTTCTAGTTAATTTATAGATTATTCGATACTAGTAATAGAAGTAGTTAAAAAATGACTAGGAAAGTTTGGCTATTGTGCGTGATATTTGCGGTAATTGTTTCTCGCAAAAAAATTCATGGAGACGAAAATATTTCCAACGCGATAAGGTCACTACAGGAACAAGTAAATGCTTTGCTCGATCATCGGCAACAGGATTACAATGCCCTTGAGGCAAGCTTGAAGCGTGCAATCGAGAAAAATACAGAGTTATTCGTTTTAAAGAACGAAATTAAACAATTGAGGTAAAACAAAAATCTTCCTTGAGTTGTGTTGCGTGATCCCTGTATCACCGATTTCGAATTAACAAGCAGTATCTCTGCTGCTGGTGCTGTTCATTCTTAGAAAAGAAGTAATCTTCCTACGCGGTGGTAATGGAAATGAAGCGAAAAACGAAAGATTGCGAGTAAGATGGCTAGGAAGTGCAGTCACCGAACTTAAAGGAGAAATTGCAGAAGTTCTTCGTACGAGAAATGTAAGCGAAGAACTTGCCGAGAGATCTAGAATGAAAGGTGAACTTGCTCTCATGAAAGGAGACATCGCTGCAGTTGGAAAAGGAGTGCGAAATCTTGGTGGTAGAATTGCCAAAATCGAAGCTGTTCTCGGAATGATACGTGTTGATATAGCTGCGGTGAAAGAACGCTTTAGCATACTTTTTCGCACCTGCGCTGATATTGCCAGTCAGGTAACATTTTTCCGGATTATTCGCCTTTTTTCATTTCTGTCAGAGATCGACTTTCTCCTTAGTTATGATTTTTTATTTTCACCACCATCATATTCATTCTTGGCCTTCCACCTGCTTATGTCCGATTAATCGAACATCTGCTACCGTCTTATATCTTCGCCTCTTCTCTCTCTCTCTCTCTCTCTCTCTCTCTCTCTCTCTCCTCTCTCTCTGCCTCTCCATCCCTTTTGTCCCCTCTAGTTCTCCCGTCTTTTCCCCACACGTTCTTACACCATCTGTGTAAGCCTTTGCCCACGCTGAGTGCTATATTTTGTTTCAAGGCAGCTGCAGAAACGCTATGGTACAATGAATATTGCTTCCAAAGAATGCCGACAATAAGCTGAAACACCTGCTGCTATTCCCTGACGTCGTATATTAGCTAGCCAACTGATTTCACTGGTGGTGGATCGTTTCGCCGTTCCGCAGCTGTTCAACTTTTATCTACATTTCCTCAGCTGTCACACTAATTTCTACTGGTAGAGAGAATCAACTTTTTTCTTTTATTTTCATTTTCTTTTACATTCTTTACTGCTGATCTTGCATATTTTTTTCGTAACGATTTTTACTCGTTCTTTTCTATCTTGTTTCCTCTCTCCTCGATTCTTTTCCTCTGTTTTCCTCCTATATGCGTTAAATGTAATAACTATTATTCGTAACGTTGATACGCATTGATAAATCGCATCGATGGATTTACCTCGAGATTAATGAGAAATCGCTGTTTACTTATCAAAAAAGAAAAGATCTCAATGTATCTTTTTTACTTCGTTTTGCGTTAAATATTGTAATAAATACCTAATGTTTGGTAATGCATTTAATTTTGGTAATTTCAGTTGAATTCGATTCAAATCGAAGTGAAGTCTTTTAAATGTGAATCATCGTTGGTTAATGCGGCAAATTCTGCGATTCCACATAGAGGGGGAGCAGAAGGAGAAAGAGGTGAAGAAGAAGGCAGTAGAGGAGAAGCAGGAAGATGAGGAGGTGGACGAGGAGGAGGAGGAGGAGGAGGAGGAGGTAGTGGAGGAAAAAGAGAAAAACTTGAACGAGGAGCAACAACCATGGCAACTATTGTGGCAATGGCAGAAGTATCATCGCAATTCAATGGGATGACTATAAAGCATAACAATCGTACGGGTGCAGCTGTCACATTGCGCAGTGTTCCTCGGCATAGGTTAGTGCGGAAACACGGTTATTCGAAAAGAAGCGAAGAACATCGAATACGATTAGATGATCGTTTGAGAAACCTCGAGAGGAAAATGATTCTGACGACGCAGAGACAAGTATCGTTGGAAAAACGAATCGACATTGTATATGAGAATCAGGAATGGTTGGATTTGAACAAACGGATAAAAAACTTGGAGAAAACTCAAGACGAATTGCCTGGAAAAATTTTAAATGCTAGCGAGAATACAATTTTAACGAAAGATATCGACGAATCACTCGGCTCGCGTTTAATCGGTTCGTTACGAAATCTTGAAGACACCGTGGAAACAAATAGCTCGTTTACAAAACGAGAATTACTGCGACTCAGTGTAGATGCTGTTCGAAAAGCTGCCGAGCTGTCGTTGACCAGGGTAGAGCTAAATAATTTACGTCGTACCGTACAAGCATTAAGTGTCAGTGCGTCTAAGCTTCAAGAGAGGAGTGATAGACGAGAAAAAGTGATTGATCAGATAAACGGTATCTACTTAACAGCCAATTTTCATCGATTATCCTCTGCTGATACCACGTCAACATCGAAATCGTCGAGTGACGCATTTTTAAATTTCAATCAACTAAAGAATCGGTATTATTTAGTTGGATATAATCTGACCGGTGATTGCGAGCGAAAAACCGCGAATAACGAACCAACGGACGCGCTAAGACTATTGAGAGCAACAGAGAAAGAAAAAAAACCGATGTTAGCGTTTTGTCGCGAAGGTTGGATCGTCATTTCACGTCGAATCGATGGAACTCTCGATTTCGATCGCAACTGGAATGATTATTCTCTAGGTTTCGGTTCTCCATTCGGCGAATATTGGATTGGCAATGCAATCCTTCACAAACTTACTCGTGACAACTGCACCAGTCTTCGAATCGACATGCTAGATATTTATGGGGAACGTTGGCGTGCCGAATACGAATCGTTTAAAGTAGAGTCAGTGGAAACCGGTTATAGGTTAAGTGTTTATGGATATTCAGGAAACGCGACCGATGCTTTTTCCTATCAAAACGGAATGGCTTTTAGTGCGAGAGATCGAGACATGGATGCTAGCGCGACTAATTGTGCCAGAAATTACCATGGCGGATGGTGGTTTAATCGGTGTCAACATGCAAATTTAAATGGCAAATATTCCTTAGGCTTGACATGGTTTCGATCAGATACCAATAAATGGATGTCGATCGCTTTTTCAGAGATGTCCGTACGTAGGAACCCTATTTGTCGGTTACGATAGTGCTCGATTTTGCATCGACCTTCACGTTTTTTCCATACCAAAGACTTTTATTAATTATAATATATCACAATCGTAATATTAACTATTATTCATTCATAAACGATGCAAATGTTCAGATGCAAAAGACAGAGCAATGCTCTACCTCTGTAATTATCATCTTTTATCATGGTGAGTTTAGTCTTTGAAAAATATTTCAATTATATTTTAAAATTCTTTAATCATATATGAATAACCTTAAGTGAAAATACGAACGGTACAACACCATTTTATTTTCTCATTTTCTTCCAATATAGTATCACTTAATTACTCGCTCGTACAGAATAAAGAAATTACTTTCTGCCTTGGTGTCATTCTCTTTTCTTTCTCTTTTTTCTTCCTTTTTTTTTTATCATCTTTTCATGACCATTCGTATTGTTGGAATCGTAGTGTTGATCAACAAGTGCTTCTGTTCAAACTTATCCGAAATGATAAATATTAAAATTGGCTATTTGTTGGGTTTTGTGTTATTCACAAAGTATTGTTATTCGGAATAATTTCGATTCTAGACTGTTAGTTTCGGATACATGATAATTTTCGACATATTAAAGAAAAATTTCTCTTTGTAATAACTTACATAATTTACCCGTTATTACTTACAACATACATATATACTGTATATATAATACAATATATCTAAATACTATATAAAATACTTATTTGATAACTATAATAATGTACACAGAGAGTTAAAAAAAATTGATAGTTCAGATTTGGTACCATCATCTTTTATTACAGTACATCCTTCGAAAGAGTAACACGAAATATACACACACGCGCATGCGCGCGCTCACACACAGGGTACACCACGTAACGCGACTAATTCGATCGTTTTCATGTTTAGTAAGTTGATCTTTTCTGTCTTCGGTAACATGGTTAACTTAATAAAAATCGATTTGTCATTATTTTTTTGTTATTCTTTCGCATCCTATCACTTACGATAAAATAATTGTTTATTCTTTGTCCAATAATTGAATAATCACACGGTGATTATTAATTAAAGATAAATTAACCCTCTATGGGCCGAATATATATTTTTCTTGACTATAAGAATTGTATGTAACATAAAATCAACAAATATTTGACCCACGGGAGGTATTGTAAAAATAATTATAAATATATCGAAAGAAAAATCGCGAACTGGAGTGATCAAGACGATAACGTTAAATGCAGTATTTAATAAAATACCCTTACATCAGCATGTAACTTGAAGGTTACACGGGCCCATAGAGGGTTATAGGTAATCACACGGTGGTCCCTGTTGCATGAACCATGGTGTATATGTACCGTGTGCGTGTGTATGTTTTATATACATATACATATAACACCTATTACACTATCAAAGAACGGAGTAATTATATAATCGGGAAAGAAAATCGTTTATACCCTCGAAGAATATCCAGGTCTTTGAACGATTATGTTTTATGGAATTTAGCACCTATTCTTGATAGGACATCTATTGAGCACATTTCTTGTCAATGTATTTGCATTTTCAAACACATAATCGCAAAGTATAACGATAACAATGACAACAATGGCAACACGTGACGATATTGTGAATATTGAAACTAGACGCAGATGAACAGGTGTTTTATCGTATGGCACCATGCGACTACTGTTACCGATTTACTCGTTCCAATATCACGATTCTCATAAATATTTCAGCACGCGTAAAGGAAATACGGCGATAAAGTTTTTGGTCGCTGTGAGTTGGTGAATTTTATTCACTCGTCTGCAACGAATGCCGTTCTACGCGAGCGAAAAAAGATTTTTTATGAAAAAATACAAAAGGTAAACAAGGACAGACAACAATTAGATGTATAATTTAAGGATTAGGAATTCGAAAAAAAGGAATAATATGCGAATTCTTTTACACTGGATTGTTATATCGATATCCTATGTAGAATTTACTGTCGATCGTTATCGATCAACAGTTGCATATCAAATAAAACTTATATTCGCGCGAAGATCTTGATCTCGCTTAACTCCCAAGTAATGATTGTCATTTTTTATTTGTACGATAGTCATGATATTTGATCACGAGCAAGTTTCCTCTACATTCGATTTGATTATCTAAATGATGATATGTATAGTAGGCCCGAGCAACATAGCGCGCGCGCGTAAATTATCGTAAATATCAAGCAGCGGTTTCGATTTCCGATACCCAGGACCGCCTGTAATTACTAGGTAAATATTAGTAGATTAGTAGTTGTAAAACATTGAACAGTAAAACGAAACAAATTATCGATTAATTTCGAATTTCAAGTTGATTCGTCAACTGTTACTTGCTAAGAATTTAAAGCTATTATACTATGCTTTATATTGTATATTTCGAACACTTAAAAGAATTTAAACCTTTCATAAACCATTTTCACCAATTACCCGTCCAATGGAAGAACTCATTTTTTATTGTCAATATATAACATTAAACAAATTTTGAGTATCCCATTTTCCATTAAATGTCTCGTATTACTGTTCCGGTAGTCGAAACATATATTGTACTTTTAGGCTCGATTGATTCTACAAACGTGCTGCTTTATGGCTCAAGTCTATTATACCTTTAAATGCTTTTCGCAATTATTACGTAACTTTGGCCGATACATTATCGAAAGATAATCTGGACAAGTTCACAATTCGTTCGTATCAATATTTTTGAAACTTCTCGTTTCCAACGATTGTTAATGATTGTCAAAGATTGTCTACGCAGATCAGTGATGCAGTTAGCTTACACGATCAAGCAAACATAAAGTAGTCCTTGACCCGAATCTTAAGGTCACTTTGTTTCCTAGTGCCGCGTAATTTATCAGAAAAGCCAATCAGTCTCCCGCAATTACGTACTTGCATTTTACGTTTTAAACAAACACATACACATTTATACACACATACACATCGATCCCTTTACGTTTTCCATTTTTTTGATATCACCTCGAACGTATATACACGTATTCGCTACACGTCCAGGTAGTATACGCGTATGCAAGTATACGCCTACACCAGATATAGTATAAGTATGCGTACATACGCATACATGTCTATATACTTGGAAATCTATATTATAATATATTTTCATCGAATTTAAAATTTGTTCAGATGTGATAGAGTAGAGGAAATATTGAAATATAGGTATTTAAGCTATTACGCATACAAATACGCATATTTGATATGTATCTGTACATCGAAATACGTATATCTAGATGCAAGAGTTGAGACTTTTACGCAAAATAATTTTAATATTCCCTTCCTTATATGAAATATCATCACGCGATTTACAAATATTTCTATTTGTCTTACACGATATGTTCTTACTTTTTAAATATTTCTTCTATACATATGTATCGTGCAATCAGTTACAAAAAGATAAAATTCCATCCGTTTCTTTTTGTTTTTACATATTAGCTTAACGGAAATCTCTATACTTTACTAAATCGTTTACATTTTACATATTCGCAGCATTTCTACAATACATTCTTTCACATGCATATAATTAAATCGAGTGGCAACGTAATTTGATAAATTAGAATTTGTAGACATAAACTTTTTGAAAGATGCATAAGTAACAAATTTCATAGTCCTATCATATTAAAGTGAATATATATAAGGTATATACATAAATATATATTATATATTATTTTATCTTTTTGTCTCTGATTCTACATTCTTTGTTCACACTAAGTGACACAAATGACTGCTCATCACTTTTGAAATTGACACTAAAGTCATTTTCCCTTTAAAATAACATGTAGCATATGAATAACAAAAAAATAAAATGACGCAGTATTATCTTTTGTTAGTTCCCTATAAGTTAATTATCGTGCAACGCTTACTTCGATCGATTACACGTCTTCAAACCATAATTCAAAAGAAAGTGGCAAATACATTCCCGGTAATGCAACTATACTGTCATAGAAAAGATCTTAAAGAATCTGAAAAAAAAGAAAAATAATAAAAAACAAAGAATAGGTCACATAAAAAATAATTTGTTACATTATAATCAACTTGTTATTAGTTATAAACTCATGCATTTTCATTGTAAAAAATGTATGATATTGTTACCCAGAAAAACAAAAGTAGAATAAAAATGCAATCAGAAAAGCTAAAAGTATGTATAAGTGAAAAAGTAATACATGTAATACAATGTTACCATTGTATGCATGTTAGTATATTCATATCCTGCATATATAATCGATGATGGATTATCGGTATCAGATCGGTCTTATTTTAACATACATCTCATACTTATTTTAACGAACAATGTATCACGTAAATACATACCTTTGATTATACATATATAGACTATACATATATGCAACAACATATGACACGTATTCGCTTTTCTATTCGTTTATATTACTTTGTTGGAATCTTGAACGATGACACAAACAACAAATGTGGATATTAATTATGTAATTAGGCCACTTCAAAAGGTCTCGAATTGTTCGACTTCTTTACAAGAAATTAAAGTCTTTGCTCCTTTGCACAGAAGATCTTCACCGATACATTCAGAGTCCAAATATTATATATGTATATGCATATATGTTAAGAACAGAAAGTATCGATACACTAATATATCTTGTCATAAAGATACATAATTATATATTATTGAATTCGATTAACAAATGATGTCACCTTGGTTTCGCATTTCTCTATATTCAGCAAAAGATGTCTATAAAATTATTCTTCTCTGCTGCATTTTATTTCATTTTGATGTGTTAATCAGTGGTTAGCAACGGCAATCAGTAGGTTGTTTATAGTTATGCAGTAATTTACGAAAGTGGATTATAGACAAAAGACCACGGTTCAAGCGTCGAACTGTTTGTTGAAGAACTGATACTGTAAAGAAACAAAAGATAAGTGTTTACCTGAAATCATCGAGGTCGTACAACGAGAAATGGCATGTATTAAAATACTAATCGATCAAATCGATCGAGCGACCTAATTATTATCAGTCAGTCTGTGGAATGTTATCAAATGTACATGCATATAGTAGAAAGAATTCGGAGATATTAGTATTAATTGAAAACAGTGTACAGAGAAATAAATAAAATGTAAGTAAATGCAGGCAAGTAGAAAAGTATTTATAAGAAGGTATGCAACATGAGCGTGTGCGTGCGAGGGACAGAGGAAGGAAGGAAGGAGGGAGGGATAGAATTAGAGAGAGAGAGAGAGAGAGAGAGAGAGAGAGAGAGA